ATTATTATTATTATCTATAGACCGTGGATCTTTATGCAAAATAAAAATTGACTTAGTTAATACTAAGAAACGGAAATTAAAAGCAAGAGGAATTTCCTCGTTTAATTATTTTAATAGATCGAAGAGAAGAGTAGCAACGTGTTCCAATTTTTCTAACGCGTTCATACGTTGCTATTTTATGCAGTCATTTCTGTCGTAAATGCATAAAATCCGCAGTTTTTTTTTTTACTTTCGTTTATTCGGATATTAACATTGTGACACTTTTAAACGAACGAGTTCGAACCAGGAAATTAAATATTGAAATGAATGTTGAGAAGACTTACCGAACGTAACCTAGTTCGTCAGAAAAAGAAAGAACTTGCATACACATACATGTTCGCTACTCGTTCTGTTTCTTCGAACAGATTTTTCAGTAATTCGCAGCGAACTTTCTATTGTTTGCTGTACGCTGAACTTTCTTGCGCCGCTTTACGCGTTGCAGTAAGCAGGTTAATGAACTTAAATTCCATCGCACTTCGCCGTACCGGGGGTCTCTCTCGGTTCACGAAAATTTCTAACGCGTTCTAAAGCTTGAAAAAAAAAATAGCGGGGCCATCGAGTTTGCCTTCTCGGTCGCCGGTGCAGCGAAGTGTGAAAGAATAGAGAGCGACCGTTAAGAAAGATCCAAGACCCTCTTGACACTCGACAAATTGAACTGTCCGTATAATTTTCCTGTACAATTAATTTCGCGTCGGTGGAAAGAATGTTATAAAACTCGAAATCAGTCAATAAGTATATACTATTAGTATTATAATATTATATGTATATATATATAGTATTATATTATATATATATAACATAACATTCTTTCCATGATTATGATATATATATATAGTAGTATTATAGTATTATATCAGTATAATAATAGGAATTTACGAAGGAGAAGCAACGGAACAAGGTACATATTTTTTAAACGACGCGGTTACAATTTTATTTGCGGTTGCCTCTTGCAATCGTCTTCGAAAATTTCTATTTTGCATAAAGATCCGCAGTTCGGTTATCATGTAAAACGTCTCGAACGTTCGATATCTTGGATCAAAATGGAAGAAAACCTACGATCGGCCGACTATTGTTAACCGCACGGGAATCCGTTATTTAATCCATATATTCCCGCGAGACAATCGTAATGGAACTCCTCGTTGATTGTTTAAACGCGAATCGGTTCATTCTTCGCGCCTACGCCCGTGCGAGAGTAATTATACAGTTGAGCGCGTAAGAGGTGGTCGTTAAAGTTAACAACATCAACATCGCACGGCCCGCGTTAAAAATTCATAATTTCTCTTTAAACTAATTCATTTTCGACCTAACACCCGTAATATTCGTTTAACGGTGATACAAAGATGCGTCAATTTATGGAAAAAAAGAACATTCAATTTTACTAATAAATATTATATTATATTTTTTATTAAATAAAAAGTTGCTTACTAATTTTTTCGAGCACTATTTCACCGTCGTGCGAAACATGAAATGGGAACGAATCGTTGATATTGTCGAAAAAATTGTTCTACAATAATGTAATAATCAGATCGATCGGATGAACGTTCAACGAATTTTAAAAAAAAATGCACTGAAAATTGTAATAAATTAATGTATTACAGTATGTATTACAATAATGTCTCTCTAATCGACGCTAAGATTGTCCACAAAGATGGACAATTTTGGAAGAGGAGACACGATTATTCGAGCGTTCCGGTTCGTTTCTGTAGTCACGAATTGTCGAACAATTATAAGAACGAGCCGCAGGGCTCGAGAATAATCGTATCTCCTCTTCCGAAATTGACCATTTCAGTGGACAATCCGAGCGTCAGTAAGGGAGACATTACTGTACTTCGGTTTTTTCTTACTTTTCTCTATTGCTCGCTTCGCAATTGTATTTTTCTGATTCATTCATAGTAATATTAAAATAATATTAATATTAAATCATATTAATTATTAATAATAATATTGAAAGTAATATTAAAATAATATTAATATTAATAATATTAATTATTAATAATAATATTAAAAGTAATATTAAAATAATATTAAATTCATAGTAATAGCGGCCACGCTCGGTATATCCAGCAACATTTTTCTGATTTCGAGGTCTCCCTTATCCGTTGCACAACCGTGAGAATTCAATCTCCTCGGAGAATCTGCGCGAACGCCCGCTCGTAATTTCGCGTTTTGAACCGCCATGAGAAATTTCGCGAACCGCCGATCTAAGAAGCCTTGTGTTCCCATAGCTTCCTATCTTCTTGCGCTCGGCGGCCCGCTGTCAAAATTATCCAGCTCCTCGCTATCTCGTCCACCGTCGACAATTAATTACGCTCGTTAGTTAGCCGGCAAGCTTTTTTACCAGAAACTTAAATCGGCTCTAATTTTTCGGTTTAATTTAACGCCGATCGATTCGTTGAAATTGTTCGTTCGATCGTTGTAACAATACAACGTTTACAACGATACCGGTATGAGGGTGCTTCCCCCCCCCCCCGGAGCGGGGGGGGGGGCGGTTAAAGAGAATTGTTTCCACTGTACGTACACCTCAACAAAACTCGGCGATCTAATTTGCTGGTGATTTACCTGCCAACATGTCCAATCATTGTTGACATCATGAGCATTTTCTTAGAGAACGCGGCCGTGCCACGTATCATCGAACAGAAACGAACGCTTTGATGCTGGACGCTTCCCTTCGAGTCGGCTGTTTCCGGAATTAACACGAAACCTACCACGGTCGAAATGACCGATTTTTTTATTTTACGATACTACAAACTTTGGAGACTTCTTCGTGGAGAACGATCGAAAAAATTATATTATCGAGGCAAGTCTCGTAATTAAAACTTTACAAAATCCAAGTGAATTCTATTTTCTCACTCTTACGAGTCAATGCACGCTAATCGTCGTTACAGGTCGGTTGGTGTTTAGCGTTAATCAGCTTTCGAGCGGTCGGACGAATGTTACGATTGAACGAAAATTACGGAGATTTCATTTTCTTGTCGAAATTGTTGTCGACGGAATGGGAACCGAGGATCCCAGGAGTTTTAGTGATATTTATGAAATAAAAAATTGTTAATATAGAAATACGTTGCTAGGTTCTAAATTGTTTACACAAGTATTTATGTGATTAGATAGTCGAAGAACAATTTTGGATATCGTTGATACGAATTGGTAGCGATTATTCGTCAATTTTATTCGTATGATTGTAAAGTAACGCCTGGATGCATATAAAAATCAATTATTATATTTTCTATACAATTGATAAAAGTTTTTTCCACTGTACGGCACGGCTCGTCGATAAAATAATAAAACATAACGATGGATCTGTATATTAGTTTGGGGCTGCATGGCATCTAGTGGGGTGGGAAAGCTTGTGTTCATCGATTGGATAATATATATTTATAATAGATATTTATTATTTAATATATTAATATATATTAATACTTTCGGCTCCCGCGAACTGGCATAACGTTTACACACAACTAATGGCATCGTAACGATTCGATAAGAGGATAATAAATAAATGTTATTGGCGTTAGCGAGACAAGATGCGCGATAAGATAAAGAGCGAGCGCATTTTACAAAAAATATTAGCCGAGTACCGAGTACCGAGATAATTGTTGCTGCTAATACCCTGTGTATTTATGGATGACGAACCCTGTCGAGATAAAGATGGAATGCTAGAATGCGATTCGATGGTTGAACCAAAATTTTATGATCGTTCTTGCTGTCAGTTTATCGTTTATCGTTCAATTTGCTATCGGAGCGACTATTATTTTATTTATGTGTAAATGATATTTATTATTTACTATATTAATATTATGTGTAAATAACATTTGTATATAAAGAATATTTATGTGTAAATGATATTTATTATTTAATATATTAATATTACATGTAAATAATATTTATACGTAAATAATATTTACACGTAAATAACTACGTCAATTAAAACACAAATCACAATCGACGTATCCTTCGTTATCAATTTCTCGATCAATTTTTTTTCGAACGACACGTTTCGCTCATTATTTCCACAGCCGACAACAATAAAAAGCATAAATCGTACATCAAAAACGAAACGATGATCGGAAGATTCGCCTGGACCGAATAATTTATCACAAAACCGTCGATCGATAACGTTTCTCGATTCCGGTATTTTTCCAAGTCCGTCGTGTCGACGCGATAGTTTTTCACTTACCGCACACAACTATCTCAGATCACTCCCGACATCGAATACAATAGCTCGAATGCAACTAGGTTGCAAAAACAAACAAAAAAAAACAGAAACAGAAGAAAAGAAAACCACGAAACGATAGACTCGACCGATTAAACTATCCGTGTCTCGCAGTATGGAATAAATATTCCAGCAGCGGATGCTGGCTGCACTTTCAACCCGCGCCGAACGAGAACTGTCTCGGCCGCAAAAGAACAGTAGCAACGACGGATAAAATCTTCTAAATATATAACAACGCTCTGTCGCAAACACCGTGCTCCATAAATAATGCATCGGAAGCTGTCGATGCGTTAAAACGCCGCGAAACAATTTCACCGAACGAGACGGAACGATCGAAAATCCGCAAGAATTAACGAAACGAAAGACGAAAGAATTGATCGAACGGAGCGGAAAACATCGAAGACAATCCCGAAAAATAGAAATTCGGAAAATATCGTTGAAAATATCGAGAAAATAATTGTAATTAATAATTGTTTATCGAGATCATTGAGATTCGACGATCCCCGCGTTTCATAGCACTCGATCGCACGCAAAAGTCGCACACCAATAAATCCGGTGCGTTTCTAAGAAGCGTCTCTAGGATGCGAGGGTGTTACAGGTACGGCTACTATAAACAAAAAAAAAGAAAACGAAACGAAATCAAATGAGAAACGAAAGAATAAAAAAAAACCGTGTCGATCGGTTCGAAAAAAGCAACACGCATTAAACGCGTGAAACAAGATGAAAAATCGTTGAATTCGGATGAACTTACGCGGCGATACTTCTTGACAGGGGCCATCGTTCCATGCTGACCTGATACTTCATGTTCTCGATCTGCTTCTTCAACGCGTCCTTGTCCATGTTGGCGAGTACACTGGGATCCATGGTTATAGCCGCGCCTCTCTTTCGCCAGATAAGAGCCGAATAGCGCTTGCGCCTCTACGGAAAATCAATAGAACTGTCTCTGTATATGGGGACTCCTGTTAATGGAACACAGAAGAACCACGTCACCGGACAGGCAACAGGACATTTCGTTCTGTTACTCGGTTCGTTTGTTTTTTTCCCGTGTTTTCCGATTCTTTTTTTCATTTTATTTCTGTCAATTTCGCCGGCGACTCATCAAGCGAAATCATCGCGCGAACGTCTCTCATCGATTCGCGACGAGACGTTGACAATTGCGTGGAACGATTCGACGCCCATCTTTTTACCAAACCGCGGATATGTTTAGGAAAAGTTTCAATTTTTACGGATTTTTACGGAAAGTAAGTGAAGCGGATCCGCCATTTGTCGCTGCGAACGTTTGGCAATCGCAGTAAATTCTCTCCAGATCTTCGGCCTCGTGGCTCGTTTTTATAATTGCCGATTGTCAATAATTATAAGAACGAGGCGCGAGGCTCGAACAATCGTATCTCCTCTTCCCAAATTGTCCATTTTGGTTTTGCGAGCCGATGGAAAATTGGAGAGAATTTACCGTGGACGTTCGTTGATGCGAATGCCTCGGCGAATGTCGGAAGATGCGCGATATCTACTTAGAATTATTGTTCGATAATTTCTATACAGTTACTTTAACCATTTGCGCTCGAGCGGCGACCCCGAGGCACCGCTAAAAAATGTTTATATCGCGTTCCAAAATAATTCTTGCATCGAGAAAATTTAGATTTGAAAAATTGTTAAAAGTATAAACCGTTATGCGAGTCGCGAGACTCGATTTCGCAAGCATACAATGCGCTGTGTCGTATAAAATAGAGACAGCGTAGGTCGGAAAAATCATTTTAGATTTACAGTTAAAACGGCTTCGAACGAAAAGGGTTGATTCGACTCGTTGTAAGATTTTGTTGTTGGGATAACTCGACGCGACGCGTCGTCTTTGCGAAACGGTCTCGCAGAATTGCATACTTGAATTAAATAAGTTATTTATTTCTCAAATTATTCAATTATTTACTTATTCGATTGCAAATAATTTATCGATAATTATTCTACAAAGTACAGTAATGTCTCCCTTACCGACGCTCGGATTGTCCACTAAAATGAACAATTTGGGGAGAGGAGATACGATTATTCGAGCTTTGCGGTTCATTTTTATAATTGTGGACAATTTATAGCTATAAAAATAAACCGCAAGGCTCGAATAATCGTATCTCCGCTTCCCAAGTTGTCCATTTGTGTGGTCGATCTGGGCGTCAATTAGAGAGACATTGCTGTACAGTAATGTCTCCATTACCGACGCTCAGATTGTGCAGAAAAATGGACAATTTGGGAACAGGTGATACGATTGTTCCGGCTTTGCACTATGTTTTTATAATCGTTGACAATCGGTAAGTATAAAAACGAGTCGCAAGACTCCCCTTCGCAAATTGTCCATTTTTGTGGACAGTCCGGGCGTCAATTAAGGAGACATTACTGTAGACAGCGCCTGCACGCGTCAGTAGATACAGCGAGCAGTGATCAGACTGCAGCCAGTCGACGGCTGCTTCTGTTGTTTCGGACCAGAAGCTGATCTCTCGAAGATCAAATTTAATTTCATCCGAAACTCTCGACTTATTTTTCCTAAGAGAATATCGCCCGTTTGTTTATCGCGCTCTGCGAATAAACTGGACGCTCCGCGTATTCCGATAGTATTTTCCGCGAGAACATGGAAGAAACTTTGGACAGCTACCGCCGCAGTATTTCCCGCTTAGAACTACTTAATGTCGTAAATACTCTACTTTGCAGACATAGTCCCTCCGCGTAAAGTCATCGCTAATAAACCAACCACTGAATTCTTAAAGCTTGCCTTTCCGTTTACCTTTCTTTTTCTTTTTTTCTTCAATTTGCACAGAATAATCCGACTTCCCAAATCGAACGAAACAAACCGACCGTATTCATTTAAATATAATTACGGTAATGTCTCCCTTACCGACGCTCAGATTGTCCACTGAAGTGGACAATTTGGGCAGAGGAGATACGATTGTTCGAGCCTCGCGGCTCGTTTTTATAATTATGAACAATTTACGATCGCCTTCGCCGATCTTGGCTCAATCGATCGTACATAGTAAAATCGTGTCGACCAATGCGAACGTCACAACGATCGGCGCGTTGAACATTTTTGCTGCAACGACATGTCTCTCCGCTTCGCTCGAGCATCAACGGAACGCGTCGATAATAATAAAGCGATAACAGCAGCAAGCTTGAAATAAATAAAGCAAGCTCACGGTTTAATTGTACCGCGGTTTCCGCGAGCCGAACGTTAACATCCTAAATAATATGTTTATTGCGTCTACTGGAAAGTTCCGAACACTTTCTAACCAGTAAGGATTAACATACTTAAAGTCACAGAAAGCAGCGGTGCCGGGCAACGTATTACTTTCAACCAGCAAATGTTCTATATGTCATTGTAAATCACGCGTTTGAAAAACGAACGCGTTCGCGCGCTTGTATTACGATCGAACGAAGAAAAGGTCTCCGGTAATTTATGTTGAAATCGAAGAGAACAGGCTATTTAGTTCGAATAAAAATTCCCGGTTTTCACGTTGGAATCGAACGATCGGATCGCTATACAGTAATGTCTCCCTTACCGACGCTCAGATCGCGCAGAAAAATGGACAATTTCAGAAGGGGAGATACGACTGTTCGAACCTTGCATAACCTTGAACATAATCTTGACAATTCGTAACTATAAAAATGAACCGCGAGCGCTCGAATAATCGTATCTTCTCTTCCAAAAATTGTCCATTTTCGTGGGCAATCGGAGCGTCAATTAGAGAGACATCGCTGTATCGCTTCCTAATCAAAAATTCTCCTGAAAATTTCATCGTCTACCGTGATCAATTTATTACAGTAATGTCTCCCTTACTGACGCTGAGATTGCGCAGAAAAATGGACAATTTGGGAAGAGAAGATACGATTGTTCGAGCCTTGCATAACCTTGACATAATCTTGACAATTCGTAACTATAAAAATGAACCGCGAGCGCTCGAATAATCGTATCTCGTGTTTCAAAAATTGTCCATTTTCGTGGACAATCGAAGCGTCAATTAGAGAGACGTCGCTGTATCGCTTCCTAATCAAAAATTCTCCCGAAAATTTCGTCGTCAATTAGAGAGACGTCACTGTACCGCTTCCTAATCAAAATTTCGCCTGAAAATTTCGTCATCTACCGTGATCAACTTATTACAGTAATGTCTCCCTTACTGACGCTCGGATTGTCCACTAAAATGGATAATTTCGGAAGAGGAGATACGATTATTTTCATAAGTGTGGACAATTTATAACTATAAAAATAAATCGCAAGGCTCGAACAATCGTATCTCCTCTTCCCGAATTGTCCATTTTTGTGGTCAATCCGGGCGTCGATTAGAGAGACATTGCTGTATTCGGAAACTAGAGAAGCGGCAATCGGTGCCTCCGAACGGTTTCCAGTTACCATAAGGTTTTGCGAGTGTCGTGTCAAGGGGCTGGGATACTTACCCTTAGAGTTTCGGGATGTGCGGAGCCTCGAAAACGGGAACTTGCACACGTGTCACAGGCTCCGTCCGCTGAATTTCGTCGAATATTCGAGTGGCACCCGTAGCACTCACCTTGCCGGAGGTCGATAAAGTTCTGAGAGTAGCCGACTCTTGCTAGGTTTCTCGATTCGCTTACGGAAGCCTCAACAAAACTCGGCAATCTAATTTGCTGGTAATTTACCTGCCAATATGTCCAATCATTGTTGACATCATGAGCATTTTCTTAGAGAACGCGGTCGTGCCGCGTATCATCGAACAGAAACGAACGCTTTGATGCTGGATGCTTCCCTTCGGAGTCGGCTGTTTCCGGAATTAACGCGAAATCTGCCACGGTCGAAATGACCGATTTATTTATTTTACGATACTACAAACTTTGCAGACTTCTTCGTGGAGAACGATCGAATAAATTATATTATCGAAACAAGTCTCGTAATTAAAACTTTACAAAATCCAAGTGAATTCTGTCTTTTCACTCTTACGTGTCAATGCACGCTAATCATCGTTACAGGTCGGTTGGTGTTTAGTGCTAATCAGCTTTCGAGCGGTCGGACGAATGTTACGATTGAACGAAAATTACGGAGATTTCATTTTCTTGTTGAAATTGTTGACGTCGGAATGGGAACCGAGGATCTCAGGAGTTTTCGTGATATTTATGAAATAAAAAATTGTTAATATAGGAATACGTTGCTAGGTTCTGAATTGTTTATACAAGTATTTATGTGATTAAATAGTCGAAGAACAATTTTGAATATCGTTGATACGAATTGTTAGCGATTATTCATCAATTTTATTCGTACGATTGTAAGGTAACGCCTGGATGCATAAAAATCAATTATTATATTTTCTATATAATTGATAACATTTTTTTCTCACATTTTAAGGCAGATATCAGATTGAACTGAAATCATCCGTGATGCCTGACGTAATTATTGAGTCGAATTTCGTTTCGCTAGATTGCTTGAACAATTTTATTAATTTCCTAAAATAACACAGGTTCACTACAGTTTTTTAATACATCCCCCGTATCTCCGATGTAATTTCATTATGTAAATTAATGATCGATGAAAAATGTATTTCTCGAAATTACTGCGACTTCACAAATAATACAAAATATTGTAAACTTCGAATAAGTGAGATTTTATTATCGATAAGTTGTACAGTCGACAATTTCACCGTAATGCGAAATTCCGCGGAGAGTTTTATGATAATGAGAATACATAGGTATTTAAAAAACTTGACAAGTATCCCGCGAAAAACGAATAGCTTCGCCATCTTACAATCGAACCGCGAAACTAATTGAAACCTAACGCTGCGGACGAGTTATAGGAACACAGCCGAGTTGAGACCCAATGTTAGATAGAAATACACTCGTACACGAAAGTATTCGAACGCTTACGCGTTTCTAACATTTAATTAATAAAATATATGCGTTAAACCGAAGCATTCGATATAAAATAAGACACGTATAACAAGGGATGGGTCTTAAGACTGCGTAAGTAAAATTAGAAAATAATTCAACAATTATAACATTTTACATATTATAATATAATTATCACAATTATAATAATATAACTATAACTTAGTTGCCAACCCAATATTATCGCAAACGAGGTATAGTCTGTGGTGTCGTAGCACATATTTTTTACAGAGTCAGCAATTCAGACCCCGAGACGGAAAAATCGCATCGCACGTATTGTCTGTACAGTTTTTAAGTCTGTGGCGACACGACACCTCGCATGGTGGTCGATCTGCTCGGATACCTCGTCTATGGTGATATGTATACCGTACCTGGTCTGTGCGCTTATCAATGAAAACAGTACATAATAATTTCTTAAATAGATGAATTGAACAATAAACATCGGAAAGTCTATTTTCATACGATTCATAATGTGTGCGATAAAAATAACTTGTCGGCTCTCCAGATTATCCTGATAGTAGTATGTAAAGCGTTATTAGGTAGGATTATATTGTACCGACGGTTAATTAAGAAACTCCTGCGTAATTAAAAATATGGCGAGATCGGATATGATAAACGATTATGCCAGAGATCTGACTAAGTTGGAGAGAGAACAAAGTATAATAGATAGAGCACCGTTTCGTCATTTAACGATCACCGATGCACACGTATTAGACTCGATAGAAGGTAGAGAGATATGCAGTCGTTGTTACAAGTCACGAAAGTTCTTTTGTTACTCGTGCCGCTTGCCGGTTATCAATGAGAAGTATTTTCCAAAAGTAAAGGTATCGTAACTTGTATATATTTACTATATCGTATAAACAGAGCGATACATATATATATATTATTATTATTATTATTATTAATATATATATATATATATATATATATTGTATATATGGTTGTATACATGTTTTAGTTACCGATTAAAATCGACATCATTAAGCACGCCCGTGAAATTGACGGGAAAAGCACTGCGATTCATGCGGCTGTACTCGCTCCGGAAGATGTTAACATTTTTATATACCCTGACTTTCCGGAGATAATCGATAAGAAAGAGGTAAGTTCTACTGTATTACGTAAACTAAACATGTTGACTTAATTGATCGCACAACTTGTTCAGATTTTATAACTTGGTCTGTATAATATCATCCCTTAGACTGTCTTAATTTTTCCTAGCCAAACTGGCAAAACGATTGAATCGCTTTTCGAAGACGTGGTTAAACAAGGTGATCAAATAATAATAAACAGGATTAAGAATGCGTTTCCTGTGAAAAGAGCTGTTTTCATTGACAGCACGTGGCATCAGACGAAAGCTATCTACAAAGACCAAAGATTTAGAGGTATCGTAGACGATATTATCATTCTTTGTACGTACGCTTAATAATATCCTTTGATAGCATCGGAATTGGAATACTACGAAACAGAGAGATCTCGAACGATATAAATTTTTGTAGACTTACAGTGCGTCATATTGAAATCAAGAATATCGCAGTTCTGGCGTCATCAAAAGAAGAGCCCAAGATGGTATTTGGCTACGATCGAAGCGATTCATCAATTTCTGGTAGAACTGCACACGTGTGCGTTCGGCATCGTAGAAGGTTACGCGGATTTGGAGAATTCTGTTGTAAGATCGGTTAGAGAAGGATTACCTGAAACGGACCAGAGATACAGAGGTCAATACGACAATCTCTTATATTTTTTTAAGTATATGTACGAGAAGATTCATACTATGTACGATCATGATCAGTTATGGGCATATAAGAGGCCGTTGCTATAGTTTTTTTGATAGGAAATTATTTTACAAAGTAGCATTAATGTCTGACAGATCTATTACAATAAAACAATTGATATTAGAAATATCTCTACCGTAATTTTACCTCCGTTAGAACTTCTACTACGTACCATTCAAAATAATTAACAAAGTAACAAATAAGAATTGGTATGCGTAAATTTGAAAGTTTACTCCATTCGAAAAGTTTAAAATATTGGCATCGCTTTTATTAACATTGCACAGAAATGTTAATATTGCGCGTAACTGTTAATCGATTCATGCGAAATATACTATTATACTATTATATAATATACTATTGTAATATGTATAATATTGTAATATTGTAATATGTATAATATTGTAATATTGTAATATGTATAATATTATACTATTACGTAATACTATATACTATAAATTGATCTTACTATTTCTGTAATTCGATTTAACGATGTTAACGTCGCAATTATTTATTTGATCCCACAGCAATCGATAGATACGTATCTCCTATTTAGCGTTTTGCCTACGACCGGCAAGACAGTGAACGCGTTACCGCGAAGCCGGGGATTCTACCGTTGCAGGCTTGCAAACTTGTGAACCTCGAACGCAGCCTCTAATAGATTACGAAAACGATGTTTCTCGAACAGAGGTGGGTGACCTAATAGGTATTCCCAGTAAACGAAATACGAAATCGTGTTATCTATTTCTGTGTGAAAATACCTCTTCACGGCAAACGGGACTTGCGGGAAAGCCTTTTATACCGCACAGCTCGCGAACCCGGTCGCCGTTCGTAAAATCGAGCAGCCCAGCTGCGCACGGGGAGCCCGGTTGGTCCGTTCATTGATCTGCAAAACGTCGCATTGTTTATTGTGCACGAAAATAAACAATCGGAGCGGGGAGTCGGCACGGCGCGTAGAACGTCCCCAAACACAGGGGAGGCGGCACGTTCGCTGGCGAATAGCTGGCAGTGACGTCACAGGCACCTCGCCTCTCACGTTCCGCAACCCGCGATCGCCCGCGATGCCCGTCAGCCGCCGCCGAGCCGCCTGCGATCCGCGATGAGTTTAGTTTTGAAAACAAGAGGCTGGTCGCCGCTCGTAAGCCGCGCTCGCGTCTGAACGGAAACCCCGAGGCGAAGTAGAAGCTCGGTGACACGAAACGCTGTGCCCCGGTGCTCGTGCCTCGATCGTGTCCAGTTTTCTTCCGGTATTTTCCCCCGTTTCCTCGAAAATCCAGACGAAAAAATGGACGCCCTTCGCGAGCAAGTGATGATCAATCAGTTCGTGTTGGCCGCAGGTTGTGCTAGAGAGCAAGCGAAACAGTTGCTGCAGGCAGCACACTGGCAGTTCGAGGTAGGAGAATCATTTTCCGCGTCGTTATCCTGCCGGACATTCAGAACTGCATCGTATTCGTAGGATCGTCGCGGCTCCGATACACGGCTACGTAAACAAAGCGAGCGAAAATGGCCGACCGTCCCAGGTGCTGTTTGTCGCGTACGTACGCGACACGGAAAACATTGCGTTATCCGCGTTCGATCAATCGAAAGACTGCGGCGGCGGTTTCGTTTCGCCGGGTCCGCGCGCGACGCATCCTCGTTCCGCGATCCATCGATTCGTAACAATCGCGCGATTCGTGGCTGTTCTCGCGGCCAGTCAATGAGCACATTTACTACCACCACAGGATGATCAAGTCCATTCATAAAAATCATACGATGTTGCTAAGAGGTTTTTTGTTCGTTATTTCGTTGCGACCAGTGGGATCGCTGGTATCTCTCTCTCGTCAAGGTTATGTACAGCATCGCGCGATGCTTTTTCGGATTAACACACACACAACTTCCCATTTGTTTTCGTTGAAGCACTCGTGACTCTGGTTAGCCGCGATTTCGTTTTTAGACACACCGTCGCGCGAGACGCACAATCGCCGCGATCCCAGCCGTGTAAATATTCTCGCTGTCCAAATAAGTTGCGCCGTGCAATAGTGCTATACGTATCGTGCTCGATTTTCGTCGAACGTAACCTGCATAAACGCGGCCGCCCAGGCTATCAACAATGGAAACAACGCTGACATCGCGTGCGCCGATCGCGAACAATGATTATCTTTTCGGTGCCGGGTTTCTCCTATCGATTTACGGGATATCATTACCGTTAAAGGCCTCCTTTAGTTTATGTAAACGCGATCATCGTATTTAGCCTCTTCGATGTACATGTATATGTATGCACCATGAAGTTACAATCGACCTAACCTTTTCTACCGTTGGCGTGCGTGGATAAAAGTGCAATCAATCGGTCCGATAGGAAATAGAATCTCGCGTGATTATTTATTAACATCGGAGACGAATACGGACGAGCAACGCGGACTATTCCGCGTATACATACGTGTTACACCGCGCACGATGTAAACAAGCGCCTGGCTAGATTCGAACGCGTGTATTTACACTCGAAACGCACGCAACGATCGAATCCTCCGAAAACCGGTTCGATTTATTAAACTTGTATTCTCATGCACGGTAACGGCTGTTCTGTGTATTAGTCGTCGCTTAAATATTACCTCAAATATTACGTCTTGCTCTGTTCGTTCTACAGGGTGTCCCGAAAATGTCTCGCAATCCGGAAATGGCGGGTTCCTCGGATCGTTTGAAGCAACTTCTTCCTTTACGAAAATGTTCTCCGAGGCACCGTCAACGAGTTATTAACGAATAAACAGTGACCAATAAGAATCGAGTACGGCTGACGCGAAGCGGCCCGGCCAACCGGCGCGCGAAGCCCGGTTCCGCTCATTGGCTCGGTCGCCTCGCGCCACCCGAGCTCGCCTCTCATTGGTCACTGTTTTTCGTTGATAATTCGTTAACGGTGCCTCGGAGAACATTTTTGTAAAGGAAAAAGTTGCTTCGAATGACCCGAGGAACCCGCCACTTCCAGATGGCGAGACATTTTTGGGACACCCTTGTATTGCTATGTACATACAGGGTGCTCGACATTTACGATCCGAAAGTCACTCTCGGTGGGACAAACATCGACGACCGTAATACTTTTTTTCCTTGTTAGCGCAGCTGTGGTGTCGGATCACATTCGCGACAATGATCTTCGCGTTGGCCAGGTTTGTGCGCGTTCTCCTCCTCGGTACCTGTTTTGATGAGTCACCGGTGTGTATGTTTACAATAAAAGCGTGAACTTTCGCGAATGTGTGCGCTCGCTCTAGTCGATACCTGCGTTTACGTAAGACCGTGGCCGAAGCGTCGTTAGAACACGTACGTAGAACCATAACGTCACGATAGCCGGGATAAGTCTAGGTTAAGTCTAGGCTGCGAATCGCAAATCAATTTCTTTTCCTCGCGTATGTTTTAAAGATGAAAAGGAACAACGGCCATCGCAAACGTTTAGAAAACTAAAACAAAGTACGGGTTTCTAAAAAAATTCTCGAATATTTACTTAGCTCGGAATTCGTTGTTTACAGACGGCAATACGTTATTCACAGAAAATTCGCGGATCGTGCGGTTACATTACCGAATTACATTAACAAAGTTGTTGACTAAATCGACTGTTTCCCGTTTGTGTACGGGTTTATCGAGGCATCTTTTAACCCTTTGCACTCGAAGTCATTTTAATTGTAAATGTAATTTAATTTTTCCGACTTACGGTACTTCCATTTTATATAACAAAGTGCATTTTATGCGTATGAAATTTATAGTCTTGCGACTCGTCGTACAACAGTGTTAGACTTTTAACAATTTTTTGATGTCTAGACTTTTATAATATAAAAATTACCTTAATTAGTAACAATAATATAATATAATATAATAATATAATATTAATAATAATATTAATTTTAATAACAATCTAATATTAATATAATAATTAGTAACAATTTTAATGGTGCCTCGGAGTCACCGCTCGAGTGCAAAGGGTTAATATCCTCATTTTCTTTGTTTACGCAGTGTGTTTGAACACTTCGGATCTTAGGCGGCGCTCGTAAAACGTGCGGCAGGCAGCATCGATCGGCCGCGCGCGCTCGTTGTTTTCCGAGCACCCGTTAGACGGGTAGGATGACTTTTAAATCCGTAACGAAATTATTCGCGCTTATTCGTGTCAAACTTTCACGGGTTAATGCGACTCGCGCTTTAAGCTCCGCGAAACCAATTTACGCGTTAACCGAGAAATAATAACGCGCCGGTTCGGTTCGATAATTTCTCTCTGCTATCCGAAATCGTCGACGTTTTATATACGTTTCTCATACTTTCACATCATACACACAATGCGGTCAAGAACCTGCGGTGGCCTTTCAGCAATTAGTATCTTATCCGTGGCCGGCTAATCGCCGCCCATTTCTTTCGCAAAGTTCTCGCTTCGAGCGGTACAATGGATTTAAATGAAAGCGATAGCAACGAAATTTCGGAGCTTGTTCATTTTTAATGAGAAAAATAACTCTTTCTGCGTCAAGTATATCCGGATCATAATAAGATGCGAATTATTACTTTCAATTAATATTAATTGAAATATTATATAATATTATATAATAATAATAATATAATTATAATTATATAATTATAAATAATAATAATATTATATAATATAATATCCAAATATTAATTATTACTTCTCTTCTTCCAAACGTTGTAAACATAACATATTTGTATCTTCGCAAATATTTAACTCGACGAGAGCGTTGATAATAATAATTTCAATCAAGCTTTTGTTTCGATAGAACGAACCTTTTCGTTCCTTGTTCTTATGTAATAATATCTGGGATCGAACGTTTGCATAAACAATCGTGTACAATACAAACCCATTCACGAGTTGCAATACAACGAAACCAATTATCGGCGTTGTTTATTTCCGGGGCTCTATTTAGTATCGAATAACAGCGGTCACCTCGGCATATAAAATAAATTTTAATGGAGTTCCTATGACGTCATCGTTCAGACAAGGAAATTATTTAACATCGGGGAGACTATTGTGCATTCATCTAAATTGGTAACAACGTTCTAAAATATTTGTAGAGTACAAATATTCTACAAATAATTTAATAAGTAAATTTTCAGTAAATTTTCCACGCATGACAAACATAACGCGAATAATTTTATTTACGTTTCGTACGGAACGATAAACTATTCGCTCTATTTATTTCGTATCGCGAACGTATACAAACAAATATTTACGAAATAAATATAAATATAATTTATAAATAATATATATATATATAACACATATATATTATATAATAAAAGATATATATATATATATATATAATATATACAATATAATATATATATATAATTTATATAATATAATATATATATAATTTATATAAATATATAAATAAATACGAACAAATATTTCGGTAACCGTTCTTATTTGCTTCTCTGCACACACTTTTGTCAATGATCGTTGCTTGGGCATTTATTAAAAATGCAACTTAACAAATTGTCGGCACCTCGACAAACGTCCGAAGAACGATTTACACTTTCATCTGGTAAACGAACAGGCAACCTTGACTAACACGGTCCAATACTTTGTTGGAATAATCGCTGTTTTTAATTCTGTCACGACAGAAAAAGCTTTCTCACGCGTTACAAATTCCCGATTGTCGCACAAACGCACGGAGATCCGCGCTCTAATTTATGATCGTTACGCAACCTGACCTACAATATCGAACTAAACGCCGCCGTTTACCATCGGTTACCCGTTTCGATCGAGTTCCGAAGTGTTTGCTCCGTACAGCGTGTGTAACATATGTTCTCGCGCCAAGTTCCTGCTGGCGGGGAACGCGTTAATTCATAATTAATTCCTTAGATGATAGGTTACGAGATTAGATTGCTCGGTGTGTTGTGTTCGTGGAGCGATTGCGACACCAGCACCGGCCGAACGTTGCATTGTAATCTCTCCGCTGCACTTCGAACGAGCACGGTAATGTCTCCCTTACCGACGCTCGGATTGTCTACTAAAATGGACAATTTGGGAAGAAGAGATACGATTGTTCGAGCCTCGCGGCTCGTTTTTATAATTGTGGACACTTTATAGCTATAAAAATAAACCGCGAGGCTCGAATAATCGTGTCTCCTCTTTCAGAAATTGTGCATTTTTCTGCGCAATTTGAGCGTCAGTTAGGGAGACATTGCCGTATCCGCGAAATTGTTGCCTAAACGAATACGAGCGCGAGACTATCGTAAGGTTTGCAACTATAATAAAAGTCGATAGCCTATCGTTTCTCAATTGAGATAGTACGCAGATAGTACGGCGTGTAACGTTGAACGTCCACCATTCAGCGTAAACATAATTAAGAAACGAGCGGCGACGACGACGGCGGCGATGCCGAAGCTCATTGAATATTCTTGAAAACAATATTATGCTTCCGA